ATTAGGGTCCTCTCTGATAGCACAAAGGGATAAAGTGCAGCACTGCAAAGCTATCCACAGCCGCTTCGGCACAAGTTCCATCCCGAGACAGGGAGGTGACCCACATGGTGCGACAGACCTTTCCTTTGTCGTGGGCTGCTCCCCTCAGTAGTGTACTTTGTCAATCTGCCTATTCTGCTCCCCACTCTGCCTCTGGTGAATCCTCTCACCGCCCGCACCTTTGGCTGTACCCCAGTTCTTGTGCATGTAAGTAAATACATCTTTTATTTATTTGTTAAATGTCTTTTTTTTTCAAAGATTTTTTAATTTATATATACAGAACTGGGGTATAGGCCAGAGGTACAGGGGTGGTAAGAGGATTCATCAGACACAGAGTGGGGAGCAGAACAGGCAGATCAAGGAAGTACACTACCAAGGGGAATAGCCAGCAGGACCAGAAAGGTCTGTGGAGCCATGTGGGTCACCTCTGAGGCCTGGATGGATCTAGCACTGAAGCAGCTGCCGCTAGCTTGCAGTGCTGCACCCTAACCCATTGCCACCAGGGAGGGCCCTAAATAAATCTTTAAAAAGTAAGTAAATACATAAACTAGTAAAAGTAACAGATAATGCACTTAGGGGGTTGGGGTGAGGGAGGGAAACAAATGAAATAATTCAGAAGCCATAATCAATCAGAATATCTTGAGTAGGATCTTAGACTGGAAGAATTGTTATAGGATTGCAATTTGAAAAATAAAGTTATACAGCACTCCTTTTGGAGAAAGGAAAGAGTAGTAGTTATCAGGCAAGTACTTCAAGAAGCCAACTTTTGAAAAGTATATGCCATGAGAGTACCTTAGCTGAGTCAGCTGAGAAACTTCATAAAATCAACTAAATACTTGTTGCCATTCTATAGTCACAAAGTAACATACTGAAAATTTGCCTTTCTTTTATGCAGAATTATAGGAGGAAAATAAAATGCGTTAGTTAGGTTATCTAGAGCACCTAACAGATGTATGTCTATTAGTAAATTGGCATTCTGGTATATATGCTATATCATTATATTTGTGAGTTTATATTGATATCTGATAGACACATATATTGAAAATGAGAATATATGATCTTGGATAAGAGAATCAGTTCCTGACACATAATGATAATACCCTTTTGAGGGCAGTTAATTTCTGGAGGGTACATTTTGGTCAGTGAAGAATTCACAAAAAGCCAATGCTCCATTGTAAGGCCCTGTCTGGGAAGTCATGTCTCTCCCAAAACCTGGCCTTCCCCATTACAATAAAAACAACTTTCTGCATTATCAACTATGAACCTTAATGCTTAAGGCTTTACATTTATTACCAGCACCATGTTTCACAAAACATTCTATTTTGACCTCTGGGATATTTTCTTTTTCTCTTTTCCTATCCCACCATTTCTCTTACTCTCTATTGTTGACTATAAATGGGAGAATTTTAATAAATCTGACAGCTAAAGAGCTTTTTTTTCTCTCTGGGAGATGACTTCTCTACCCTCGAGCTTTAACTGCCACCTACATATTCTAGATTGTGTTGCCCAATAGAACCTTCTGTGATGATGGAAATAGCTTGCACTTGTGCAGTCCAATACAGTAGCCATTAGTCATGATTATTAAACATCTGAAATTCGAGTAAGTGCAACCGAGGACTTTAATTTTAATTTTAATCATTTAGAAAATTTATTTATTTATTCATGCATACAAGAACTGGGATACAAGTCAGAGGTGCTGGGTGGGTGACGGGGGGGGCAGTGAGAGGATTCACAGAAACAAGATGTGGAGCAGAACAGGCAGATTGGCTGAAATGCACTGCTTCTGTGGAAGACAGGAGAGGTCTGCTAGGCCATGTGGGTCAACTCCCTGGCTGGGGATTGAACTCATGCTGCAGTGGCTGCAGATTGCTTCATAGTGCTGCAACTTAACTACTTGCACCACCAGGCACGCCCCGGAACTTAATTTTAAATTTTAATTAACTAAATTAACTAAGTCACTGAGAAACCCTATTGACAGAGATTCCCACTAGGTTTAGGAGAAAGTCCAAAAATTGATGTTTGACCAAAGCTCCCCCTGGTGATTCTGATGCACACATGCACATGAATTTTTGGGTTTGGAATTTGGTAGGCCTAAACAAGCTTTAAAGAGAGCATGGGTCTTTTTGAGGGCTAGGTTCTCTAACTCAAGAGTTTATTAGGGTGAGTTAAGATAATATCCCACCATAGTCTATGGCTTAAACAGCTGAGAAAGTCCATTTGCATCACTAAGGTGTATCTAGTATCAAGAAGAGAATGCATTTTTCATGAAAGGAAGAGAAAGAAAGAGACTGGAAGATCCATTAAAGGAAACTGAGATACAGCACACCAAAGCTCTGAGGACAATTGGTGACTTTATTATTATTATTACTTTTTAGAAGATTTACTTTATTAATGCATACAAGAGCTGGGGTAGATGACGGAGGCGTGGGAGGTGAGAGGATTCACCAGAGACAGAGCAAGAAGCAGAATAGGCAGATCCTCTGAAACACACTACTGAGGTAAGCAGGGGATGAATCTGGAGAGGTCTGCACCATGTGGGTCAGTTCCCTGACTGGGGATTGAACTTTGTGCTGCAGTAGCTGTCCCTAGCTTCATAGTGTTGGGACCTAACCCCTTGTGCCACCAGGGAGGCATAATGACTTTTTTTTTAATTAAAAAAAACATTTGTGTATTTTAATGTTTTTCATGTTTTATAGCCAATGATCAGTATTGAGTTTTATCAAATGTATAGTCTGTGTATATATGTCAAGTACTTATTCTAAAAATGTAATGATAGAATTTAAGAAGAGAATGCAGATTAATGACAGTTTTAAAAGATTTATTCATAGATATAGTCTGTGTATATATGTCAAATACTTATTCTAAAAATGTAATGATAGAATTTAAGAAGAGAATGCAGATTAATGACAGTTTTAAAAGATTTATTCATAGATATAGTCTGTGTATATATGTCAAATACTTATTCTAAAAATGTAATGATAGAATTTAAGAAGAGAATGCAGATTAATGACAGTTTTAAAAGATTTATTCATAGATACAGGAACTGGGGTGCAGGCCAGAAAGCAGTGGGTGAGTAGGGAGCAGAACTGGAAGATCTATTGAAGTACACTGCTGAGGGCAGCAGCAGGTGAGACAGGAGAGGTCCTTTGTGCCATGTGGGGATTGAACTCATGCTGCAGTGCATGGTGACAGCTTGATAGTGCTGTCTTTAACCCTTGTGCCACCACGGAGGCCCCCTAATGTCAGACATGTTGACTCTTTTTCTCAATTACACAAACCCAGAAAAAGTAGAGGATTCTTGAAGTCAGTTCTATCACATACCATCAGAGCTAGGGCTGCTAGTCAAACCTTTTGGGTTCCAGTCCCATGTTGATTCCACAGACCCTGAAAAGTAAGCACAAATATTCATACATTTGTGCCAGTGGAAAAAACTTTTTTAGTTTTATGGACTATAAGTAGCCTTTTCTAATTCAGGTTGTATTTTATTTTTTTAAAGGATAAGTTTATTAGGAAGAAGAGCAATAGATAGGTACCTGCATGGTCACAAACAGGCAGGAGAGCTGCCTTCAGGTTGGATTTTAAAACAAACCTGCAAGAAGCTTCGTATTGGTCACCTAATAGATTGTAGCCCCTCACCACCCAACCCAGATTCTCTCAAATCTGTCCCTGAGCTGAGCTCCAAAATAAAGACGTGCTCTTTTCCAAATTCCAGAATGCTTACCTGGCTCTGTCACAGGACAGGGAGAGGGGCACCTCTGAACCCCCCAAACCTGCCCGCTCTAAATAGATTCATCTGCCACATGAAGACAAAACATCTAAGATCTTTAATGGAAAGGAACTTGGATACAATTAGTGCGCAATACAGAAGAGACAATATAGTTTCTAAATCAAGCACTCAAAGTTACCCATCCTCTCATGAGTGAAAGTCCACCCAAAAGTGATTGGCCCAAAGCAAGTCCTGAAAGCCTGCCATGGGTCTAAAGCACCTTATGGTGGGGACCCAAAGAAAAGGGTCAGTAATGGCCAGACAATCTGGGAGGAAAAGAGCAAAATTAAAATCAAGACGAACACTGCCATTGTTAAACCTACCCACAGGTCTCTCTCTCACATCTGTTTCAACCAGTCCAGGGCCAAGGAGTATGAGCCACTTCTTCACATTTCTCTCTGCTCCATGTGCCTCCCTCAGGTCTCCTTCTAGCTCTCCATCCCTCCTACTCAATCTCCTCTCTAGGTTCTTCTCTGCTCAGCTCCACCCTCCTTTGGGTGGGGCAGAGAACCTGGAACCTCCCCTTTTCCTGGGGACCACACTGTTACAGTTCTAAATACCCAAGTCTCTTGCTGTTTTGAGTTGTATATATTTTTCTAGTGAGCTAACAGTTTGGCCTCAAGATTCTCAATATTTGTGGTTTTTTGTTGTCTGATCTGCTGTTACCTACTGTCCCTGCACAAACATCTAAAACCATTCTTCTTGGGGCTTCCCTGGTGGCACAAGGGTGTTAAATCTCAGCACTATGAAATAATCAGCAGCCACTAAACTAACCCACATGGCATAGCAGACCTCTTTTGTCTTGTCTGCTGCTCCCCTCAGCAGTGTATTTCAGTAGATTTGCCTGTTCTGTTCTCCACTCTGTTTCTGGTGAACCCTCTCACCTCTTGACTGTACCACAGCTCTTGTACGCATGAATAAATAAATCTTAAAACAAAATACATTCTTCTTTCCAAGGGAGTGAGAAAGAAGGCTTTTATGCACAGTTTCCCTTGCTCAGTGGATTCTCCCATTACCAAATGTCTTCCATTGTGACCCTGAATGTTATAAACTGGTTCAAGGTTCATAATATCTTCCCCTTCCTCCTGGCAGCTGTATAGTTAGAATGGAAATTGATGGCTAGCAGAAATTCACTCAGTCATAGAAATGTCTCCTCTAAAAATAAAAGCCAAATACACATTTCTTAGTTTTTTATATATATTTACAATATAAATAATAATTTGTTTTCAAAGTACATATCCTTTTAACAATTTGCAAAAATTATCTAATATGGGACAGCAGTTTAATGTAAAGCCTCTGTAATAGTGACTAAGGAAAAATAGAACTGTTCTGGGAGGTGGTATTCTAGGAGGAATATGAATGAATGGGCATGATGATCAGAGTTTGCAAAGGGAATGTGAGGCAGCTTAGTCAGCGCTGCACTGTCATTATAGCATGTTAGAAGATGACTCTGAGAGCAGCCTGGGTGGGGCACTGTTGAAACTAAACTTCAATGATATAAAAAGTACACATGCTTGCATAGTGCGTTAATCTTAAAGAAGCTCAACATTTCATTCTCATTTTCAATAACTTAAATGAATAGTACTTAAAACACATCACACAAAATCAAAGACTTGTGCGTATATTTCAGATTTCAACATTAATGTCAAAAATACATAGTATGATTTTACAGAGGATTTGTGCTACATTAGAACACTATAGACAAACATCACTTGAGTATTAAGTAAAACATTAAATATTAAATAACTGAGAAATAAAATGTGTAAACACTAGTCTAACTTGGGGAGGGTGTTGCTATTGCAATAATATGTCCAATGAAGTGGTTTCAACAATACAAAAAGGATTAGGACATGAATATTTCCAGTCTACTTGAAATTTGTGGATCTCATTCCAGGAATCCTTTAATGAAAACTGGTCCAGGATAACAGGAGAGGATCCACTCTCCTGGGTGTTAATTCTGTTTCTATAGCAATTTTTACTTTCAGATTTAAATTGCCACTCCTTATCAACATCTTGGTGAAAACTGAGGGTTTGTTGGCGATTCAGTGTAAGATTTGAGTTCGTATGCAGCACCGCTATCAACTTCCATTGACTTTCTGGAGAACAGGAGCCGTACATCTCTATGGAGGTAGATCTTTCCAGATTTAGAACTCTGGAACCTAAATGAACAAACAAACAGAAAGATTAATCATTTTAGGGAATGATTCCTTAAGACACAAACAATTAAATTTTGTAAAGCAGAATAAATCATTTTGCCACAATATAAATTAACACTAAGTTTTTTTTTTTGAAAGATTTATTTATTTATTCGTACAGAACTGGGGTACAGGCCAGAGATGCGGAGAGTGAGCAGAATGGGGAGATCGACGCAGTACACTGCTGAGGGGAGCAGTGGGCAGGTCAGGAGAGGTCTGTCGCGCTATGTGGATCTCCTCCAGGGCAGGCTGGGATCGAACTCATGCGGAAGTGGCTTAAACTTCTTTGTGCTGTGCTTTAACCTGCTGCGCCACCAGGGAGGGCCAACACTAAGTTTTTAACAAGATGTTTAAGATCTGACATTGCCAAAGTGGGTGTTCCTACTTTAGTGCTTCTCCCTTACTATTCCCTAAACAGTGGAGCCTCCCTTTTTCATTCCCGACACCATCATACATGGTCCTTCCTCATGTATAGTGTTCAGTACAGATTAGTCGATTAATATATTTGGGTTTTCCAGCTCTACCATCTTCTAGGCACTGACTAGAAGACTGACTTCACACCACTTACCCTCCCACAATTTTGACAGGTTTTATTAAAAGGTACTCCACACTTGAAAAATCCACTCAGAAAATGACTACATTTTGAAGACAATCCCAGGATGGGAAAGGACGCTATCATCAGTAGTGGCTAGCTAAATAAAGCCAAATTATAATTAACTCAATAGAAACATCAGCAGTGAGGTGAAAATGGTTATCAGAAAGTTTCTATCCCCTGCTATTATCTATGGTGTAAATATAGAAGGCTGGAATCTAGAATCATAGAAATACATTTAAAATTTAAAAAGTCAAATCAAACATGGGCCCTCCCTAGAAGCGCAACAGGTTAGGATCCACCACTGCAAGCTGGCTGCAGCCACTTCAGGGTGAGTTCGATCCCTGGCCCCAGAGGTGACCCAGATGGTGTGGCAGACCTCTCCTGACCTGCCTGCTGCTCCCCAGTGTACTCTGTTGATCTGCCTGTTCTGCTTCCCCTCTGTCTCGGGTGAAGCCTCTCACTGCCCCTGCACCTGTGGTTTGTACCCAAGTTCTGTATAAATAAATAAATCTTCAAGAAAAAAAGTAGAGTCAAACATACCCCATAGTGCTAATTTCTCTGTTTCCACCCCTCAAACAGCAGAAATTCACTCTGGGGCTTTGGAGTTTATTGCTAAATTAGCTAAAATTTGGTAGTCATGTATATATCACTATGAGTTTCCTGGGTGGGACAGGAGGTTAAAGTGCAACACATAGAATTTGTGCTATCCACAGCCATTGCAGGGCAAGTTTGATTCCTGGCAAGGGAACTTGCCCATATGGTACAGCAGACTTCTCCTGTCTCTCAATGCTCCCCTCAGCAGTGTATCTTGGTCAGTCTGCTTCTTCTGTTCCCTACTCTGTCTCTGGTGAATCTTCTCACACCACCGCACATCTGGCCTGTACTCCAGTTCTTATATGCATAAATAAATCTTTAAAAAAAGGGGGGGGGGAAACACTGATTGACTCATTCACTTTTTTTTCTCAAGTCTTCATCTTCTCAATCTGAAGAAGAACAGGGAGAGCTGGGGGAAGTATACCATAGTTCCCAAAAAGGTGTCTTTACAGCATATGGAGTATCTAATCACTATATGGGGATCATACAAGTTGACCTAGTTGGTTTTTAATTTGGCTAAGATTACATATAGATGGAATACTGTCAAATGATAGTTTAGAAAGTTGAATCTTTTTCTAAGTTGCTCATTCTTATAGTCAGTTATTTCTACTATTTTTCTTTTTAAAAAATTTCCAGGACCTCCTTTGTGGCACAAGGGGTTAAGTCTCAGCACTATGAAGCAATCAGCAGCCACTGCAGCACAGAGTTCAATTCCCCCCCCCCCCC